ATGAAGTTGCTCACACATATATATATATATATATATATATATATATATACACACATTACAATATTTTCCCAACATTACATTACAATATACAAATAAATATATTGTCACATATTTTTCAATATATGAAAAGCAGCAATTCCTAGTATTTAATATATTGTAACATATTAGCACAATATATTATTCTGTATATTTTCAATATACAGTAAATAAATATGTTGATCTTTAATATTCTAATTATTTTCTGTGTGTAGGGGATGGTGTTTCAGTAATATTTACACAGTAAAGCATTTAAGATACATTTATGAAACTGCAAAAATGGAAAACGTAAAGGTTGTTTTGGCAAAGAGAAATTACACATGTGGCAATTTATGCCACAATATAATTGAACAGTGCTAATATAGCAGCACTTACATCTTAGATGCGTTATTCTTTAAAAGGCTGACTTTGTGAGACAAATACATTACTGTACACCATTAAAAACACAAGAATTAGTGAAGATGGCTCAGTGTTTTTAATATGTTTATTTTACATAATCCCCCTCCCCTCAAACATAAAAAAAAACACAATAATCAATTTAAACTTCACTTAGAGTCTTCGTAGTAATGTATACCAATATCCCCACAGACCCAGCTATTCAAACCACACACAGAAGACAGATAAAACAATACAATCATTATTCATGCCCTCCCAACAGGAAAGCAAGAAGAGCTGCTTCTTAAAGACTGTACATCAGAGTCTGATATTATCAGTCAGGATCTAATGACACAGGACGCCCATGTGCTGCATTGCTACAGTTTGACTGATAGTTGAGTTGTCACAGCAGAAGATAAATGATGTGGAAAAACATCGCATTTATTTACATTGACATTCATGTTTATTTCAAATATAGAGCAGCGTGATTAACAAAGCCTTTAATGCCATCAGATAACCATTGGACTGTTTCCTCTCAGATGTACTGTATGCAGTCATCAGCACAGGAAGTGGATCAAAGATTTCGGATTGTACTGAAATGTAACAACCATCCCAGAGGACTCTGACCCGGTGAGATTCGATGGCTCAGCAGGTATCATCACGACAGGGAACGTTTCTGTCCACATCCTCATTATCTCAGCTTAGGGAGGTGAGCAGTGCAAGCTTTCAGAATGGGGAAGAAATATGAGATTTAACATTTGCTTCAAGCTGGATGCAATTCGGCATAGCTGAGATTTTGACACGTGCAACAGGAAGCTGTTGGTTAGAAAGTTTCATGTTATCAGAACTGAGTGCATATTAATAAAGATGAAGATCTGACAAATCTGCCATGATCTTCAAGACACTGTGAGATTAATATTAAAAGGTGTGTGATGTGTACATGTAGAAATGTTGACGGTGGTTCAACTTTCCAACACCCAAACCTAACAAAGGCATTATGCTTATTGAAAACTTGAGTCAAAATTGACCCCATTTACTAAATAACTGTGCTTGATCTTATCCATATTCTGAAGAAACTAAAGTTTGTTTTATAATCCATCATAAAAATATATCAATACATAGTTGAGTTACAATAATTGTAAGGTTCCAGCTACTGTTCATGTTTTTTTGAACAGATAATGGTTAGAAACTTGGAATTTTAGAAAAAAATAATAATAACATGGCAGCAGCTTTGACAGGAAGTACACATTTTGCTGTTTCCATCATTACCAGTGTTATTTTATAAGGTAATATAGAAGTGATGATATAGATGTATTTTTGCCATAATCTACTCTACTGTTCAAAAGTTTGGGGTCTGTAAGAATTTTTTTTTTTTAATAAGTCTCTTATGCTCACCAAAGCTGCATTTATTTGATCAAAAATACAGTAAAACAGTAATATTGTGAAATATTATTACAATTTTAAATATGTTTTCTATTTGAATATGTTAAAATGTAATTTATTCCTGTGATGCAAAGCTGAATTTTCAGCATCGTTACTCCAGTCGTCAGTGTCACATGATCCTTCAGAAATCATTAGTGTTTACTATTGTCATTTTGCATTATTGACGCACTATTTTCCTAATTAATGCTGTTCAGTTGCTTTGACACAATCTGTATTGTTAAAAGCGCTATATAAATAAAGGTGACTTGACTTGACTTGACTTCAGAAATCATTCCTAATATACTGATTTGCTGCTCAAGAAACATTTATTATTATTAATGTTAAAAAGAGTTGTGCTGATTAATATTTTTGTGGAAACCATGACACATTTTTTTTGTCAAGGTTCTTTGATGAACAGCATTTATTTGAAATAGAAATATTTTGTAACATTATCAATGTCTTTGTCACTTTTGATCAATTTAATGCATCTTTGCTGAATAAAAGTATTATCAGAGTGGAATCTCGTAAATGGAGCACAATAATATTAACCACTAATAATACTTAAATTAAAACCCAATGGATAAAATCAAGTTCCATTTGGAAATATCTCACATTCTGGAAGTTAAAAGTGTTGGTGTTTCTTGTTGACTTCATGGGGACAGTAAATCCTGCTATTAAATGAAGACAAGAACATCCTTGTGCTGGTTTCATCCGAAACACTATTGCAACATCAATACATGTGGATTTCTGCTGGGAAATGGTCTTGAGATCTGAGAACAAAATCCATCATTGCACATTTCTATGCTTTCGTAATCACACTTGCCATTTATTATTATTTCTGTTATGTGCGTAACTTTCATCTGTGGTTCAAAACCCTCTGCTGACTGGATCGGATTTGGAAGATAGAAGAGATCTGAACTGACCTGCATCCCAGAGGAGGACTCGAGAACATTTCGCATGGCTAAAAAAACTACAGCACTGTGTCTCTGCATGACCAAGAACATGAATGACAACAAACAGACCCAGAGGACTCCTGATGACTGCTGTAAAAAATCTGGACGAAGACCTATCACGACAAAACAGAATTCAAAAGTCCTACGAGACCCGTAAACACTCGATCCGGTCACACCAGCAGAAGGTCCGTTCAGCTCAACACTCACTGATCTGATGATGTGCTGTCATCTTTCAATTGTCTAAACGATTTTGCTCAAGTATAGTCTTTTTCTTTTGAGTTTACTTGGCAAAAGAAGTCACAGCTGGATTCCCATGAAGCAATAACTTGAAGCTTTTGGGAGATGAATGCTGAACAAAACCAAGTTTTGAAACATTACTTTCTACTGTAAGTCTGATCTTTTTCTGAAGAAACCGTCTTTCATCCCGCTGTTTCACACTGTCCCAGTACTTGTTTAGATGCGTTTGTTTTGTTCTGTCCTCTCAGGTGCACTGCTCTTTCTCCTTGTCCGTCAGTTTTTAGGCATTATTGGAGCTGATCTCTCCTAGCAGCCAGTATGTCCTCATCCGTCCCTTTCCCTTCATCTCCACATCTCCCCTGAGCTCCAGCTGGAAGCAGTTGAATTCCTGCAGGACGGCCCGTGTGGCCTCTGAAACATGGATCTTCAGGGCTGATGGAGGAGAAATCAGCGCACAGTAGATTATGAAATAATCAGACACGCTCTTTTCTCTCTCCCTGTGTGTGTGTGAAGAAATATAGCCATAAAAGTAAACTCTCTTTAAGTTCACTTGAGTTGCTTTTTATTTCATTATTATTACATTATCTGTATGTAAAGTTTTTTTCTTTAAATATACTTTTAAGATTTGAAGTACACTAGAAGTGCATATTCAATACAATAAAGGCTTTTCAGGAATCCCAGTATGGCATTTTATACATATGTGACCCTGGACCACAAAACCAATCATAAGGGTACATTTTGTGAAATTGAGATATATACATCATATGAAAGCTGAATAAATAAGCTTTCCATTGATGTATGGTTTGTTAGGATAGGACATGGTTTTGCGCTCCAGGGTCACATTTTATATTTTGTACTGAAATAAATGTTTCTTTAAATCCTGCTGTTTATCACTATATCACTATACTATATTTATATGGAAATTATTATTCCTGCTTGCACAGTTTTACTCAAAGTTCACTCAAGTGATTTATAAATGCCAGACTACTTCAGATGATTAATCGAAAAGATGCAGCTTTCACATGCAAAGAGGTTAGCCAATTATAATAGAGATAATTTACATATAGAAGGGTTAAAGATGCAGTAGTAAAAAAAAGGGGGGGGGAAATTGATCAATTCCATCTGTCAGAAAGAGGGTACAAAATGATAATTTATAACTACACTACTGTTCAAAACTACCATTTGGGGTCAGTAACATTTAAAAAAATAAATGAATACTTTCATTCAGCAAGGATGCATTAAACTAATCAAAAGTGAAAGTGCAGACATTTATAATGTTACAAGAGACTGCCATTTATTTTCCAACATAAATACTGTTCTTTTGAACTTTTTTCTATTCATCACAGAATCCTGTAAAAATATATATCACGGTTTTTAGGGATGCACCGATATGAAAATTTTGGCCAGTACCGATAACCAATAATTCTTTAAATATGAAAGCCGATAACCGATATGTTGGCCGATAAATCTAAATCCACATTTTTACATAATTTTTGAGAGCCTGATTACCAAAAAAGTCTCACCATTAAAAGGCATTAAACACTTCAACATAAATCAAACATAAAGCAGCCTTACAAATAAATAAACTAATGCTTAAATAATGGAAACAAGTTACTGGACAACATTACTTACGTGTAAAAAAAAATAAAAAAATCATGTGCCATGGATAAATTAAACGGAATAACCTCTGCACCGACAATAATTAAATTATTTTAATTAAACCATATTGTTGATGAAAATAATAAGATACAAATAAAAGTGATAGTTATTATTAATACTATATCAATGATTTTGAAAAAGAAGTATCTTAAATACCACTGTTTCAAATAGCAGCATTGCTGTTTGAGCTGAGTGCGCTGTAGCTGAAGAGCTGAATGAACACCAGTAAACTGAAGCGCATTGTGAGCGGGTTAATTAGGCTGCATGAGAATCAGATCTTTATACAACATAAACATAATATTCTAACTTATTTATGACAAAAAGACGCAAATGCACAAGTGAACTCGAACGAAGTTACGCGCTAGTCAGATGTGTAACTTGTGGATGCGCTCTTGGCACTTCCCGTAACAGCGCGCTGAAACACGCCAAATAAACCCAAATAATTCACAACTTTTTTTATTACGGTAATATTCTCTTTATAATATTATGTTTATGACATTCCCAATTATAGTTATTAATGTTGTGCATTGCTGTCCAAGCTACGTTTGCTGAAGCTGAAGAGCTGAATAAACACCGGTAAACTGAAGTACTGCCAGCTTATTTACCTCAAGGAAATGCATCATATATTCAGATATAATCAGATATTTATACAACATAAATATAATATTACAACTTATATATGTACAAAACGACTCAAATGCACAAGTGAACTCGAACTAAGTTAAACGTGCTAATTAGAATGTGTAACTTTGTTGTGGATGCGCTTTTGGCTCTTCCCGCAACAACGCGCTGAAACACGGAAACCAAACCGAAATAATTCATAACGTTTTATTATAATAGTGTTCTCATTATAATGCTATATATATATATATGACAATCCCAATCATAGTTATTAATGTTGTGCGCTGCGGTTTGAGCTGCGTGCGCTGAGCTAAATATGATCCCTGGCAAACTGAAGCGCTCTATTAACCCTCTATTAGCTTAACGAAACGCATTCTCTATGAGATAAATCAGATTTATATGCATAAAATAAACACAATATTACAACGTACAATTGCACAAAAGACTGTAAATGCACAAGCGAACTTAACTGTGCTAGTCATGAAGGTGTGGATCCATTGTGGATGCGCTCTTCCCTTAACAACGCGCTAAACCACGGGCGAACAAAGATTCCAAAACATTATTTTACAGTAGCTAATGATCTCATTATAATATGACAGAATTGCCCAGCACATGTTGCAGTTCACTGTATTTTCCTTTTCGAAGTGATTCCAATAATATTTCAAGCAATTAAAAACGATCGTGGTGAACAGTGCGCATCTGAAGTGTCTCTTCAGGAAATAATTATTTATCGGCTCTAAGATATCGGCCAAATTCTCTTATCGGTTCGATAACGATAACAGAAAAATTTACATTTATTGACCGATACTGATATGGTGGCCGATATATCGTGCATTCCTTACGGTTTTCTCAAAAATAATAATAAGATAATCAGCACAACTGTTTTCAGCACTGATAAAGATAATAAAAAGTATTTATTGAGCATAAAATCAGCATATTAGGATGATTTCTGAAGGATCATGTGACACTGAAGACTGGAGTAATGATGCTGAAAATTCAGCTTTGATCACATGAATAAATTACATTTTAAAATATACTAAAATAGAAAACACTTCTTTTAAATTGTAATAATATTTCTAAATATTACTGTTTTACTGTTTTTTCCAAATAAATGCAGTCTTGTTGAGCATAAATGAATTATTTCTAAATAACTAAAAAAAATTCTACCAACAAATCTTTGAACAGTAGTGTAAATTACAACTGTCGTAGTGCAATAAACCAGTTAACATTATACATATACACTATAAATTGACTTCAGGGAAAAATAAATGCCATAGAAGCGTGGAATACAACCCTTTCAAAAGTCTGGAGGCACCTCACCTTCTCCATTGGATTCCATGCGTGAAGCTGTGTTGACTGTATCGCCAAACAAACAATACCGAGGCATTTTCAAACCAACCACCCCTGCACACACAGGGCCTGGACACATGAAAACACACACATAACCATCAGTCAAACCTCCCCATTAGTCAGCCATCAACACACAGATATGTCCTCAGAGAGGCCAGACCGCTCTGTGCTGTACTTGCACTCTATTAAACACTTTCGTGACCCCTGATCCTCACCGCTGTGGATGCCGATGCGTAGGCGAAGCTGCTGGTTGGGTCGGTGGCGGATTTGAAAGGAGTGAACGGCCTCCAGCAGAGCCAGAGACATGCGGGCGATCTCGCGTGCGTGCAGTTTCCCGTTCCTCACAGGAAGGCCCGACACCACCATGTAGGCGTCACCGATGGTCTCCACCTGGGGGCGCCACACAAAAACACATCGTTCGGCTCAGTGATGGGCAGAGAGTGTGAGAGACATCTCAGTCACTTAAAAATATAGATCTTAGTTTCTTTCTTCTGCTGAACACAAAAGAAAATATTTTGAAGAATGTGTGTAACTGAACAGTTTACGGTAGCCATTGACTTCCAGAGTACAGAAAAAATACAATGGAAGTCAATGGCTGCTAGAAACTGTTTGGTTGCCAACATTCTTCAAAATATCTTCTTTTGTTTTCAACAAAAGAAAGAAACTCATACAGGTTTGGAACAACATGAGAGTGAGTAAATGATGACAGACTTTCATTTTGGGTGAACTATCCCTTTAAACTAATCGAGCACTTGTGTTGTTGAACAGGCGGTGAATGTAATGACTGGAATTTGGAATTACCTTGTACACGTCAAAATTGTCGATGATTGCATCAAAGCAAGTGTAGAGATCATTCAGCAGTGTTACCACCTGTGGCGGTTGCAAATGGACAAATAGATAATCTATTTTAACTCAATACTGCAATGAGTGTTGCAGTAAAGTACAAAATTAGCCTATAATTATTTGTGTGCGTCTCTTTGAGGAGTGTTTACTGAATTACCCCATTACAGAGGGTTTCTGACCTGCATCGGTGTGCTTTCGGCTGATAATGCGGTGAAGCCCACAATGTCACTGAAGTAGATGGTGACCGAGTCAAAGGCTTCTGCCTGCACCATCTCACCTCTCTTCAGCTGCTCAGCCACTGAGCTGAAACAAAAAACACACACACACACACACACAATCAGATACAGGCTCACCGATTGAAAAATCGGTGCACATAACTTAGTATGAATAATTTCATACAACCATTTAAAAATATATATTTTTTAAACAAATGTTGCATCAGAACTGGACACCTCACATTTTTTTTACATACACTATTCAAAAGTTTGGGGTCGGTTAAATCTTTTAATGTTTTTAAAAAAAGTCTCTTATGCTCATTACAGCTGCATTAATTTGATCAAAAATACAGTTTAAACAGTAATATTGCGAAATATTATTAAAATGTAAAATAACTGCTATTTGAATATATTTATAACTGCTATTTGAATACATTTTGAAATGTAATTTATTCCTGTGATGCAAAGTTGAATTTTCAGCATCATTACTCCAGTCTTCAGTGTCACATGTTCCT